ACTTACCCAAAGGGTTGTTTTGGTACAATAAAAAGAAATTCGATTTTTTTGAAACTGATTTAAGATTCTCGACGCTTACAGACATACGCTCTTAAGGCTAGAAATTGAACCCATGCTGAGTCCTGTGCATGCGTAAGACAAACCTTCTAATACACCCACCGTTATGCCCTGTGGGTAAAAAGTCTTTAGTCGTAGGAGTAAACTGATTAACTTCTTCTTAAAACGATATTTGAAATGGTGCCAATTGCTAAAAATAAGAATGGAAAGACATCAAAAATGTAATATTGTTGTGCACGGTATTTACTTAACTTCAGGTTCATTTTCTTTCGACTATTCCAGAACCAGGAATATAAATCACAAGATCGACCTACTATCGGGAATATCAAATAAAGGTTATCAGGCGGGATGCGTGCAAGGATGCATATTAATATTCATTTATTGGTTTGTTGTTATGTCTTCATTTTCAAGGCTAGCCAGAATCACATCTAAGGAGATTAATCTTATGCAAAAACCCATGAATTGCTTATTGATGGATATTAAGTAACTTTGGAGAAACAACAGTACTCAAGGCATAATACAAACCTTTTCTATTCTCAATTCTCTGGCATCCACTCGGGACAATAGTTCCTTTGATCATCAGCACATTGATGAACAGAGATGCAAGAGATACGACAATGACTATCCCAATCATGAAAGATGAACAGCATCTTTGAAAGGATTTTTTTGTCCTAGGATGATTTTGTTCTTTCTCCTGCTTCTTGCGACCATCATTTTTAGGGGTGTAACTTGTGGAAGGTTGGATATTATTGCTTAGACTGTCTAATATAACATTCTTTCTACTCTCTGGCCTTCTTTCGTGACCCAAATCATGTAGATAGAGCTCCAAAGCACTCAAATTGTCTTCTCCTATATCTTGTAAGTCGTTCTCTTTTGTCTTTTTGACAAAGGATTGTTGCAAAAAGTCGGGGCTCTTCGCCATGTTGCTTCTGCACGGTTCTCGTCTAGGTTCCTCTTTGTCTTGTGGGCTCACCTTTCTCTGGTGATACGTGTTGCATCTTATCTTTCTATCTGTCACATGTTTTTTGTGAGTCCTCCATGCTTATGTATAGACTAGCCGTCTACTGCACGAATCGACATGTTCCTTTGTTTCAGGGTTGATGCTACAATCAAAAGATGCTAGAGGAATCTAAATGATATGATATTAAGACGAGTTATCAATCAACAGCGGAGTCAGGTGTTTTGGAGGGTTTCTTTCAGACTCTGCATGAGATTCTCATTTGGATGAAAACCTCAGCTCTAGTGAACAAAGTATGTTGCAAGTCTCCACAAATCTACACAAGCCTGCAATGTTAAAGTTAGGTTGCCTGTGCATTAGAAACTCAAATGGCCACTGCATATATTCGTCTAGAGGACTTTAAAGAAATAACTTGACCAGGCAAGTGAAACATATGCATAAAACCGATTAGTTGAACTCTTTCAAAAAGGTCAAAAAAACTAACTTACGTTACAATTTCATTTCAAAATGATTATTTTCAACTACTGCTGCCTCATAAAAGAGATCCCAAAAAATTGAAGGTTTTCGAATCTGCGCAGAAGAGTTTTAAAAGCTGTCGCTCTTTGAAAATCAAACTTAA